AATAAGGAAAGGAATTGTCTCAAAAATAAAAAATGCGAAAAACGTTCGCGTGATAAAGATATTCGCTCTTGTGTAAAAAATTAATAATATCTCGCCTTTGTCATCTCTACTGGTGTATTTAAAACGACAAGTAGAAGTTATATAAGTCATTAAAAACGACTAATACAATCGAGTAAACTCGAGATCTTACGCAAGTCACAGTGTTTATCGTAATATTTAAGTTTTGCCTTATTAACAAAAACTTGAATCTTGCAAGAAAATTAATAATAGTAGTAATAATATATCACAAATAAATCTTATTGTATACTTAAACATTTTGTTAAAGTGCATTCACGCGTTAAATATCTTGAAACTTGAAAGTGCAGTGATACTTTTCCATACATAAATCATAGAATAACGTGCAAGATTTTCACATTTCTCTCTTCTCCAAACTAATCCAGAATCCACCAACAGGTTGCAACGTAAATTCTCTTTTATCGAATACGATTGGTTCAACGGTTTTTTCCGTAGTCTTCAGAGTAAATTTTAGTAAAAGATGAGCTATTAGAATCTTAGTTTCCATTAAAGCAAATCGATTACCAATACACTTTCGAGGTCCATGACCGAATGGTAGATAAGTATACGGTAAAATTTTATCTTTGTTTTCATCACTGAATCTTTCGGGATCGAACTTATGTGGGTTCGGGAAGTATTCTGGATCGTGATGTAAAGCATAAACGGGAAACATCAATATATTGTTAGGTTCAACAATTACATTCTTGCAGCCTGGTTGCGACGGAGGCAGTTCGTATCTCTTAGCACAAAGTCTATCGATAAAGATGACTGGTGGATATTTTCTGAGAGTCTCGGAAATTATCAAATCCATGTAAGACATTTTCGACAGCGATTCGTAAGAAATCTCATCGCTTCCTTCAGTGAGATGTTGTTGCACCTCTTTGCGCAAACGATCCTGAATATCTTGATTAACCGCAAGTTCGTGAGCAACGAAACACATCAGTGTCGAAGATGTGTCGAAACCAGCAAGGAAAAAAATGAACGCTTGCGAAACGATGTCATCCAATGTCATTTTGTGTACACTTGTACCTTCCTTGTTTTGAGCCTGCATTAGTAAATGAATCATATCCGGTCTGACGATATCTTGCTCTTTCCGCGTTCTAATGGTTTCTTCCACGATCTTTTTGAAAAACTTGGACGTATCCGATGAAAAAACGGTCAAGCCAATTGATTTACAGAATGATGGACATATACGTATAAACATGAACTTGATTATTGCTAGCAATCCAGCAGAAAATTTAGTAGCTTCCACTCCTTTCGTGTAAAATTCGTTGTTTTGATCCTTCATAGAATTCACGCTTATGCCAAAGGCTGCCGTAGCAATTACATCATTGGTGTATCGTCTGAATGCCCCCTTTATTTCAATCGCATGACAGATTTCGGGATGGTCAGCCAAATAATCAACAAAGTCATGAGAGCATTTCGATATCAAATTAAACATAAACTTCATCTTGCTGGCAGTGAAAGAGGGGCTTAATGTATTCCTCATTTCTTTCCAACGATCTCCGCGCAAAGAGAAGATGTTCTTGCCAAACAGCGGTTCTACGCTTTCGTCAAGAAAACTGCGATGATCCGGAAAATGTTCAAAATCTCTCACCATGACATCTCTAATCAACTCAGGATCGCGCAATAGCACGCTAGGTGTAGCAAAATCCATTATTCCCACATATTTAGCGTTCGGGAAGTAATTGTACAGATATTTGCAATAATCGGTAAAAGTGATGCGACGCAGAAACAATTTCCAACCCATTATACCAGCCGATAGCGAATCTGGCAAGTAAGGTACGCCCTTATTCCTCCAGTAAAAATATATATGATACATCACAGTGACAACTTTCAAGATGCCAATGACAACCACAGTAGTTAATAATAGCACAAAGGGCGACGAAAACAATGACAAATCCATCATGATGTAAGAGTATAACAGACAAACGAGATGTTTCGTCGGACGCGGCGTAGAACGTTATAAATACACATATATTGCGTGGATCTTATAGTGAATGAAACGAAGACGGGAAGGAGAAACGCCTCTTAGTATTATCGCAATGATATAGATTACATCACTAACTGCATAAGCCTATATCATGTCTATTTGTATCAGAGTAAATTGACTTTAATCTCAGTTTAACTTACGTTTTATCTTTTTTCTAATTCCAAGAATTAGAAAAAGATAAAAAGTAAATTAAACTCTTAATTGATAAAATGTATATATGCGATACTTTTCGATATACCATGTATGACTTAAAAAGAAGTCAACCATTAATAATTTAATTTAAAAAATATTTCACGTTTAAATAAAAATTGAGGACATTTTCGATAGAAAAATAGTTCCTAATGATTAATCGTTACTAGATTCATCATGCGTGCTTGTAAACTACACTTGCGTGTAGTTAATAATGGACTTATATTATCTGACTAGGCTATTAACAAATAGAAATAACTAATGCAGAGATTAAAAAAACGAAATTGTGCAAAATGAAAGTTTCGTTCTTTTATAGAAGCACGTTTCGCAGTTTATCTCTGTGTCCAGTAGAGTAAGCTACCTCAGTACTCAGTATTGCCCCTCGCCTTGACGAAGTGAACTGCAATGTTCACGAAACGTTGGCATTTTAATAATGGATTTGGACACGCAGATAATCCGCGAAACGTTTCGGTACAGAAAGTTCCTGTAGAAACTCAAAAGTTTCGTTCTCTACATCGTCAATTGTATCAAAGAAAAGAAGTGTACGAAAACCATAAAATTCTTTCTGTAATTTTTACAGAAGAGATTTGATCGTAGTTTGCTTAAACAACACACACATACATGCAAAATATTTGTATAAGCATCAGTTAAACTTTATAATATCTTATTAAATCAATGTATTCATAATAACATCAATTTCGGGTTTAGAATTGTGTCAATTTTAGGTAGCTAATTTCATTACAAAATAAGAAACTCACTTTAATTAGCTGAAAAAAATAAACTCACAAAATATGCTAACTAAACAAATTACCGACAGAACTTTAAGCTTTATCTGCGCATTATTCATGAACATGAGCGTATCCAGAATTCTTTTCAGGAAGGTTTTTACCAATTTTGTTATCATATAAACAGCAATGTTTGCGTTAATTAAATTTGCTCTTTTAAATTTTAAAGTTCTCTTAGAATTTAAAATGTCTCTTCTTCCCCTGATTTTGAATGAGAAAAATATTATTTTACAAATTATAACTTTTATTTTTTTAAACAACAGAAATTATATAGGCTCTAATAAAGTAAATCAAATAAAAATAAAAGCCTTTGGAAGCCAAAGCTAGATGTTGTTGAGATATAATTTATTGTGTATAACAATTAATTAAACGTTTCGACCCATGGTTAGGATCCTCTTTAGCAATTACATTAACGCCGTAAGTAAATATATACAAAATTGATTAGACAATTTTTTTTCCTAAAAGAAATATAGACAAAGTACAGTTATATATTAAAAACGAAATGTGTAATTCTTTAATATTGCTACTGTTATTAATACATACAAAATATTCATAATTATTTTTCTAATTAAAAATTCTTTTTTTAATTTAGAAAAGAATATAGAAAGAGGCCTCCTATAAGAAAATATTGCTATTATTATATTAAAAATGTGACGTTAAGTTTAAGTTAAGTACAAGTAAAGGATATATATAATGAGGAATGACATATAAATAAGCTAAAGAAAATCGTTCGATACAATTTATAAAATTAAAAAATTATGCGACAATTTTTTCCTCAAAGCAATTCAATATATTTTTATAATATCTCGATGAATCGACATAAATAAATGACGAAGAGACATGCTATTTAGACGATTTCCTGCCATTATATTGCAGAAATAATTTTTTTAATTACCTTTCAGAGGAGATTTCGGAAGGATTAAACTCCCTAAACTTTTTCTGGACATGCCCGTGCTCATAAAGTATAATAAATGTGCCGATTAAACGAATCATTAATAGAACTTCGATCTTTATATGAATATTATTTATGAAGTACAACTCCCCCAAATCTATTAATCAAATTGTCAAATCAAAATAATCAATTTATATTGTTTGTGTCTTGTACTATTTCTTTCTTTCACGATAAAAATAACTATACAAATATTTCACTTTATTAAATATTAAAATGTCTAAAATTGTATCACTCACCGATAAAGACAAAGATCTGATGATGCGAGTAGCGCAATAACATCGAGATTGACACCGTCTGAAACAATAAAGAGCAAATAGTTTGTATCAAATATTTTCGAAAATGTAGTTACGCAATTAGCACAGATTCGATTGTTTAAAAATGTCGATTAGCATTATGAATTACGGATATTCTGAAATTTTGCCCGAGTAACTTTGACAAAGTTACGGCATCACGTAAATTGCAAACTGGTCGCTCGTAGTCGGTTAGCGGGTTGAGCGAACGTTGAAATTGAATTGCGATCGGTTCAGATTGAACTAGCACCTGACACCCTCGAAGATAATCCGTTATTTGCAACAGACAGCCTTAGTAACGGGGTCGTTCGATTCCACCTTGTACGAATGCGCAGGTGTTATTAAAAAAAAAAGGAATAAAAAAAGAATGAAAGAAAAAGGGAGAGAATCTGTTTCTGATTACTATTTCCAAAAGCATCATACTGATGTAAGAGCAATTGTTTTCTCATTCAGACAAAATATTTTGTTGTTAATGTTATACCTATAGCAGTAGATATACTATATGTATGTATATGCACATAAAGAGAATTTGTTTTTACAAATCAAACTTTTAAAGTAAAAATGTAATTTGGAATACGTATAATTATATCTTTCTGTCATATTCGATTTGATGTAAATTAGATATTCGTATATCTTTCTACAAGTTTCTCTTTTTTCTCGATGAATCTCTCTCGATTCTTCTAAATTTATCAAAACTTCTTCCGATTTTTTTTTTATGTCGCAACTAATAGACATCTCTTATGGCAAATCTGACTATTCGATTGTATCTATCACAGTACCAGCCAATCGAATTCGATATAAGAGATGTGAACCCCGGAGGGTGAAGCGCGAATGCGAGCGACAAACGCGCAAACACAAAGGCAAACAAGGAGAAAGATAAAGGAAGAGGGAATAGTATTTCATACTATATCACATTGTAACGGAGCGCTGGACGTCGCGTGCACATGACAGAGGAGATACACGATGATACATGCACAACGACAGTCGTGTGCACGTGACTCGACGGCGAGCCAGCGGGGGTGGCTCAGGGTGAACCCTCCAGGCAGCCGGGACTCGAATTCACGTGTCGCGGCACGAGCGCTCAACCCTTTAACCGATATCGACGCTGCATTCGCTCCACATTGCAAAGCGAACCACATTGTTCGATCTAAAGAAACAAAATATCTCACCGCTGAGCGGCAATTCGAGTCACGAGTTGTACTGCGGAGACGAACACGCGAATCCTATCCTCCGTCCGATGTCAGTGAGAAATTCTCGCAATGACTTTTCCGCAAGACATTCAATTCTCACAATTAATTTATATGATAAAAAAATAAATGATAAAACCTATAAGAATATTTTATAAATGTCACTCTGTCATCTGTTTAGTAGGCAAAGAAAAAAAGAAAATAAAGAAAACAAAGATTTGTGATTGATAAAGATTGTAAAGAATAATGATTTTAATTATAATTATTACTATACACGCGCGAAATACACACATTACTATTAAAAGCATCGTGTCATCATTAAGAGTTTCCGGTGATCTCGACCACAGTATGCTGCAATCTATTCCACCACAATTTGATACAAAATTACCGACATGGGGCTACTACGACGAATACGATGCCTCTAATAACCTTGATTTATACTCGACGGTTCAGCTCCAAAGGGATTGCGCGTGGATGAGGACACTGGGGATAGGAAAGCTATGCGCAGACATGTTACTTTAGTGGATGGTTAGCTTGGATTGATTGCCATATCATTTTACACGTGTTAGACTATCGTATAGGTGAATGTAAAATCGTTTCTCTGATGACGAGGAATTTATTATTACCAAAAAAAAGGATACGAGCAAACTCGCAATCTTGCAATTCGATGGCACAATAGTTTTATCTTTTCGTATTTTCTACTGTATATTTTTATATA